GGATCCTTCTAAACAGACTCCGTCGCCTCGTACGGCACCAACTCGACATCGGTCAATCCAGCTTTCTGGTACGCCTCGGGCGGACTCGCACGGAGAATGTCAAGGGTTGCCCCGTCGAACTCGATGGGCGGGTCGCAGTGACACACCACAGTGTACTTGACACCTCCAGGAAAGGGCGTAAACTCTTTATAGGTCACGTAGTATTTGCCCGTCCTGAGGACTTCGCTATACGGGTTCGCCGTACGGACCCCGACAAACCGGCCGCCGCTCTTCAGGTTCCCAGCCACGTTTTCAAACATGGCCGCCAGCACTTCGGGGGTCTCAGCGAAGTCGAAGATCCAGTTGGCCATGACTACGTCATAGCCCTCGGCGCGCAGCGGTAGGTGCGACAGCGGCTTGGCCGCATCCGCTTCGAAGAAGCGCATGACATCGCGCCCGAGCGACTTTTCGATGTCCTCGGCCACCTTCATCATGCCGGGCGAGATGTCGACGATATCGACGGCAACGGCCCCGAGGTCGATGGCCTCGCGCGCGTGGACGCCGCTGCCGCCGCCTAGGTCGAGCACGGTGAGCCCCGTGAGGTCGCCGAGACCGAGGCCGATGAGCTGGCTCTCGAGGACACCGGGGCGGGTGACTGCGTACCCGTTGTTGTAGTCGGCGGCGATGCTGTCATACTCTTGCTTGGCTCTCTCCGGGTTGGACATGGTGGGCAATGGGGAGAGTCTGTAAGTTGAGAATGTATCGTGCAGGGATTGAGCTGCCGGGTACGTTTTCCTCCTGTGAAGATGAGGAAAGACCGATTATCGTCAGGCCCCCTTTGACCTCCCAACCCCTCATTGGGCTTGCCTGCAGACGTCCATTTGGGCGACGTCCGGGCGACTGATGCTGGGCAACCGGATCAACAACCCCTCCGGCATCATGCATGCAGTATGCAGTAGCATGCTTCAAGACGAGTGAGCCCCCACTGCCATCAGAACCGTCACACACAAGTCTGCCGCGTAGCATCCTCCGATTCCTAACAAGGTCATGGCGATTGGCGAATGGAAAAGAGAGAAATGCCGCGCGTGGCAATGGTATTTTAATATTAAGCCACCATCCCGGCCCCCAGGTTATTCTGGAAACGTGCTCACCGGGGATTCAACCGAGCTGTCTATATGCGGGTTGCGGCACGGATCCTGGACGCCCCCCTACCGCATTGGGTGCGTTGATGGCACCTAACTTGCTCATTCCCACTCACATGTGGCTGAAATTGGCAATGGTCTCAGACGAGCTCCGTGACCAATGCCATACAAGAGCCGTTGAGGTGACTTATCCCCGAATATGTCCTCTTCGCGTTTGTTTCGCACTCGGAGACGTTTGCGTCGACACCGAAACAACGTGCCATTTCGAAGACGACATTCGCCATGAGAACTCATCTGCTTCTCGGGCTAGTATTAGGCGTCCTGCCATGGACCGCCGTCGCGCTGATCGGCGCCGGCGGCCAAAGAATGTTTTACCCAGTATGCGCGTATGCATGTCTCAGAGCTCTCGACCCGTACATGCTGGATTGCTCCAACCACGATGGCGGGGGAGGCGGGCACTCTCACGGCAGCATGGGCATGACATCGCCAGAGTGCCGATCCGATAACAAGCCCTACTTGTCAACCCTAGCGTGGTGTATGCACACTCATTGCACCGACGATGGCGTGCAGACCTGGGAACTGGAGAAGTTCTGGGCCGAGCAAGCCACGCAAGATCCGACCGTGGCCCCGAAATACGACTATGGCACCATCGTCGCTAACATCACTGAACCTCCGAAGGAGGTGGCGGACCCGGAAGACATGCTCGAGTCCACCGCCCTGGCGCCGGAGACGCCCTGGAAGACGCAGTACAACACCATGACTACCATGGAGTACGAAGAAACGATGCACGCACGATACGGGTAGGCAATCATCCCATTTCACCCCTTTTCCAACCTCCCCATTACCACTAACACCAACCCCCCACAACCAGCATCATAATCCTCGTCGTCGGCTTCGGCATCCCCATCTTCTTCACCGCGCTGCGCCACATCCCCTACATGTCCAGCCTGCTGGACCGCCTCAGCCCCTATCTCGTCTACCCAGCAACCTGGGGCGGGCGGCAAGTGCAGCCGCTTCCCTACCTTCTCGGCAACGCTCCCACACTTGGCCAGGCACTGTACGTGGCAGTGCTCGTCGTGCTCAACATCGTGCTCTCGGCCGTCTCGTACCGCTCCATGCAGCCCAGCGCCTGGTACGCCAACCAGTACCAAGAGATCCTGGCGTGGATCATGTACCGCACGGGAAACTTGGCGTTCGCACTGTTTCCGTTGGTGCTGCTGTTTGCGGGTAGGAATAACGTGCTGTTGTGGTTGAGTGATTGGTCGCATTCGACGTTTGTGCTGCTGCACCGCTGGGTGGCGAGGCTCTTTGCGCTGCAGGTGCTGCTGCATTCGATTGTGGCGCTGGTGCTGTACAAGGATACCGGCGCGTATCCGGCAGAGGAGTCGCAGTTGTATTGGATTTGGGGTGCCGTGGCCACGGTTGCGGTCAGTGTCATGGTGGTGGTGAGCGGGTTGCCCGTGCGACGCTGGTCGTATGAGATCTTCTTGATTCTGCATATCCTGCTGGCCGTGTTTGTGGTTGCTGGGTGTTGGTATCACGTCGAGCTACGGTTCATGCGGATGTTTGGTTATGAGATGTGGTATGTTCCTTTTCCTCCCTCATTTCTCCTTGACTACCCCTGAATGGGTCCAGTCCATACTCACAAAACGACCGGCAGGATCTACACGGCATGCGCAGTCTGGTTCTTTGACCGCCTAATCCGCGTCTTCCGCGTGCTCAAGGCCGGCATCCGCCGCGCCAGGGTAACCGAGATTGGCAACGATTTCGTCCGCGTCGACATCGAGGGTGTCCGCTGGGGCACCACACCCGGTCAGCACGCCTACGTGTACTTCCCCACGCTTAACCCGCTCCGACCCTGGGAGAACCACCCGTTCTCGCTCCTCCCATCCTCCATCCTCTCCCCAAGACCAACAACAGCCCTCGCCACTACCACCCACGAAGGCAACGCAACCACCGCCTCCTCAGACGACGACCCCTAAAAGTCCTCCCCCAAACCAATCCCCACCATCAGCAGCCTCACCACCCTCACTCGCTATGCTACCAACAACACCCCCCACCCGGAATTAACCTTCATAATTCCGCAAATTCCCACGGGCCTTCACCCCACACTCCTTCTCAAAAACCACACTCTCCCTCCCCGCCCTCCTCGACGAGCCCTACCCCAACAACCCGACCACCGCGATCCAACGCTGCGACCGCATCCTGCTCATCGCGGGCGGGATCGGCATCACGGGCATCCTGCCCTGGGCGCGATACCACCCCAACGCGCGGCTCTGCTGGAGCGTGCGTTCGAGCGCGGCGGCGCTGGCCGAGGCGCTGGGGCCGGCGCTGGAGGGGTTGGCGGTGCCGGCGGGGGAGAGGGAGGTGAGGGTGGGGAGAAGGTTTGAAGTGCGGGGGTTGGTGGAGGAGGAGGTGAGGGTGGGGTGGAAGCGGATTGGGGTGGTGGTGTGTGGGCCTGGGGGATTGTGTGATGAGGTGAGGGGGGTGGTGGCGGAGGTGGGGAGGAGGGAGAAGGGGGTGGTGTTGGAGTTGGAGGTGGATGCTTATTCTTGGTGATTTTGGTTGGTATTATTATTATGATGAGAGAAAGGGGGAAAGGAGGAGGGAGAGGGGGTTGAGCTGTTGCCCTGGCTGGGCTGGGTCTGCGGTGTTTCTCTTCCGTTGGACAGGTGGAAGGTTTTGGATTGGGCTTAGGGATCTGATTCTGTCGAATCAGCCCGCCGACTACATTTTTATTTATGCTAGATACCAAGGGGAATCGATACCCTAGTTTTGCCAACTGGCCAACATCTTCACTAACGACCACATCGAGAGTTTCGGTCATTGACGAGGTAGCAGACACTTCCAAGTGGTAGAATGGAGGGTATCAATTCGTTGTACCGTTGATGCAACGGGGTTGTGTTATGTGTTAACAATTAGGTACATGACTTCAATATTGTCGAGTCTATCCAGATATAAGCCCTTATCCCATTTTGGACGCCACCAATCCAGATCACACTCCCCCACGCATTACTGCTCCGCCTCGGCAGCCTTCCTCTTCTTCTCCCTGTCACATACAAAGGCAGCGCAGGCAACCAGGGCCGTCCCGGCCAGCATGACGGCGCCGCAGAAGATGATCAGCCCCACGAGATTGTCACCACCGTCGGCAATGGCTCCCTGGGCAGGCAGGCCCGTCAGACTGGCGACGGCGACAATGGCAAAGAATGTTCCGAGCATGACGCCCAGGTCGTGCGTGTGGCCGCCGGCAACCTCGATCAGTGCGGGCGACATGAGCGACACGAAGGCGCCCGACACGAAGCCGAACAGGACTACGAAAACAACGAGCCCGCCGAGCGAGTTGTGGTAGTTGATGGGCAGCCAGATGGCCAGCACCATGACAGCCGAGAGGAACGCGCACAGCGCGATGACCCGCAGAGAGGACCCAACCTTGTCCGAGTACATGTTGGGCAGGATGCGGCCGGGGATCGAGGCGGCGCTGGGAGGTGGGAGTTAGCAAGATTACCACGAGTTGGGCTCCACGGCGGGGACTCAGGAAAGCTTACTTGAGAATCGCGACGGTGTAAAGCGCAATATGCTCGGTCTTCGGGTTCATGGACGCAAAGATCGGCAGGTAGTCGAACGGGCCAAAGAGACCCCAGAAGAAGAGGAAGCTGCCAGAGACAAAGAGAAGGTAGGCTGGCTTCTTGAAAGTTGCGAAGCTGATTAGGGATTTACGCCCTGCTAGGCCCTTGGGCTGGAGGGGGCTGGTGACGAGAAGGTTGGCGATGGCAAGCATGATTCCAATCATGAGGGCTGTGTACCGCAAGGTCTGACGGAAGCCGATCTGATCGAAGAGGCGGGCAAGCATGATGGGGAAGACGACACCACCGCACGAACTGCCGCTCGCAACAATACCCATGACGAGAGCCCTTTTCTTCTTGAAGTACTGGCCGGCGGCGACCAGACCCGGGATAAAAGTCCCCGCTGCACCCAGACCGAAGCACAAGGACTGAGCCAGAAAGATCTGCCAGTATTCGGTGGCAAAGGAGAGGGCGATAAGACCACCCACGGAGAAGATGGCGGCGGGGATGAGGATGGCCCGCACACCAAACATGTCAACGCCCATCCCAACTGGCTGGGAGAGGAAGAACATCAAGAACAACTGCATGGTCAAAATCCAGGTGATGTTGGATGATGACTCATTAGGCAGGATCTCCTTTTCGTAGACAAATTGGAATGAACCGAGACTGTGACAAAGGTTAGAACTTAGCTGATGCCGGTGTTAGTCAAGAGTTAGCTAAGGCTGGTCTTACGCATTGATGAAGCCAAAGGAGCAAAACTGGCAGAGCCAACCGCCGGCCACAGTCATCCACGCGCGGGTACCACCATCGGGAGGAACGAACGGCGCCGGCTGTCGCGTGTCCACGGCTTCGGCTGGGGCCGCTGGTGCAAGGACGGCATCGTCAGGCGACATCGAGGTCGACGACCGGGGCTTTTCTGTTGACATGGTGATTGTGTGATTGTGATAAATAAATGGATGAATTTGGTTTTCGCCTTCTACTTCAAGAATTTGAGAACGGTCTGGAGTGGAAGGTAGTGGAAGGTGAGGGTGGTTGCCCAGCAGGTGCGTATACTGCTTTTATGCATCAAAGTTAAACCGCAGTCCTGCACAACTCGACTTGCGAACAACATTTCGAGTACCGAGGAAGGGACCATTGCCGTGCTTTTCTAATAATCTTGTTTCTTTCTCTCCTCACCCCCCCACCCACCCACAACGCCCTCTGACTTTTTTCTTCCCATCAGTTTCGACGATTTTCCCACCAGTGTCGACGATCGTTCAGATGGTTGAGCAGATCTGTTCCGGGGTATGCGCCGGGGGGATACTCCGCGGAGCATTCCATGAGCCAGGGCATCCGCGGATCTTCCGTCAAAGGTCCGTCAAGGCCCGTGGATCGCAGACATTGGTGTTCGTCGAGCAATTGCCTGATTCGAATTGGGACCCGACGTTAACAGCAAGGTCAAACCCAGATTGTTACAGACGCTGTGCAACCAACAGAATCGCATGGCATGTTACAACGCCACCCGACAGCCACTTCGGGAATGGCTGAGGACTGTCTCAACTTAATCACAACGGCGATTTGACGACAATTGAACGAGTGTATCATTTGCAATGCAACCACGATTTCTCACATTTGCTTGCCAACTTCGCGGACATGAGGTGAGGTCTTTGGGGTTATTAACCGAGTCAAGTTGAGGCTTTGATTATAAACATTTACCCTCAACGCTTTTAAGTTTACCAGTAACCAAAAAATAAATGAAAAGAACAGGGTATTAACGACAATAAGCAACTAAGAATCACCATCTTCCCCTGGCATGACCGCTTTTAGCGGCATCAACTCGGCCGCGTTCAATGACCTCTCCAGTAACCAGCCCAACCGACCCTTGCTCTCAGCGAAGGCATGTTGCCAGCGGAAGAGGTGCATGCTGCCCGTCCCGGTGCCGAGGATATCCGCCTCGTCGCGGCTTGCCTTCCACAGCGCCGCCGGCGACGCCACACCCCTGTGCGCCTGTTCCTTTTCCTCAACCCAAGCGTCCATGGCCTTGTCCACAAAAGCCACCTCGTCCTTCTCTTCGCCTGTCAGCGGGAATGAGTACGCGCAGTGCACAGCAAAGAAGGATAACGCGATGCGGTCGTGGTCCGCACGCAGGAACTCGTCAACGTGCGCCTCGTTCTCCGCGCAGCGGCATGGTGATGATGAAGATGTGGTAGCAGGCTTTTCGCTGTTGCTGCTGGTATTGTGGGGGAACGAGTTGGCTGGTCGACTCCCCGGCTCCGCCGACAGAGACGCCCGCACTAGGTCGGTGTACTGCCGATGCGGCCCGCGCAGGCTGTTACCCGTTACCACCATGTGCGGTGTTGTGGGGTCGCCTTCAGCCATGAGCGCGTCGATAGAGGTTTGTTTGATGCGCCACCGCAGCGCCAGGCCCAGTGGGCTTTCGAGGCTGTTGCTGTTGGCGGGGGGCGGTTGGTTGTTCTTCTTAATCTTGCTGCGGATGTTTGGGAGCAGGCACTTGAAGAGAGACTTGGCTCGCCCGAGGAACCCGCTCGGGCGCGTTTTTGGGGTGGGGGCGACTGTGGCCTCAAACACATTGATGTGATACCCTATCACAGCGTTGCTCATTAGTCATGATGTCTTCTAGCTGCGGATTGATAGGCAAACACACCATTGGCGCAGAAATGCTTATCGACGAGGATGATAGGGGTGGACTGGCGGAGGAGAAATTCGCGCTGGAGAAGATAACTGGGGAAACAAGCAGCAGCTGTGAGCCCCAGTTTTGACTTTTGGGTTGTGCTGGAAATTAATCTGTCTACAGTGTGAGCAGTCTGCCGGAGGCAGAGGGTCGGAGACTTGGGGACTGTTACTGACCTAGACATGTCGTACCCGAGATCGGAACGCTTCGCCAGGGACTGCAGCCAAGCACAACTCAGCTGCGAGAGCCACACTTGCAAGTCGCGAAACTCGTTTTCTAGACGCCTCATGCCAGAACGCTTGACATTCGCACTTCCACTGTCCCAGCTGTTCTCCATCAGCTCCCGGGTGAAGCTGTCAGCCGCCTGCGGCTGGAGGCTGCCGTTTGGGGAGCCGTTATAAAAGCTAAACGCCTTGTACTTGGAAAGCACATAGGCGTAGACGACAAAGCGGGAGAGGATGACAGAGTTGAGGATTTGCCAATCTGTCCGACTTCGGTCTGTGGTACTGTCGACTTGGAGGGTTGTGCTCGAGGATGTCGAAGTTAATGGGTCGAAGACTGGGGCTGCCCTCTCTTCTCTGGTCGCGAAACCGAAGGTCTGCTCCGGCTCGGACCATCCAAGTTGGACGAGGACCTTTCGAGGCGTCTCTTGTTTCTGGTTGAACCCCAGCAGACTGGGCTTGACCTTGTCCTTGGTAAGCCTGACGCAGGCGGTGCGGGCTTGAGTGATGACGGCCTCGAGTCGTGCGATTGTTTCGTCGAGCCAGAACTCTACCGCCTGCCATGCTTCGGGGTTGCTTTGAAGGAGACAGCTGTATGTTGTGAAGAGGTCGTTGACCATGCCTGCCCTGAGGTGGCAGCCGGTCTCGCCCACATGTGCGTCGAAACCCATGAAGCCAAGGGTGTCGGAGCCGTTGCTGTGGCCGGTCAGAAGGCTGCGAAAGAGAATTAAGCCATCGATGGAGTCAGTGGCGCCGCGGACGATGTCGGCCAGCAGAGCAGGATAGTCGTCTTTCCGCTTCGCCTTGTCGGCGCTGGCGCTCGCGGGGAACAGGAAGTGAGCCATGTTGCAACACAAAATGAGCCGGCGATGTTTGCGTGGAAAAAGGGGGAACTGGCGTTTGCTGGCAAAGATGGCAAATTCTCAGACCACGAAGCAAACAACTGAATTGGTGGCATCTCACTGGGAACTCGAAGCAAACAAGCTGTACAGGAGCGTTAACTGGGGCAGATATCTCAGATTTCTCAAATTCTTTCAACGAGAAACCTGAAAATGGGTTGTCTGACCTCAGCCAGCCCTAAAGTCGTCCCAACGCTGAATCGGCGGCCAGATCGACGACGTGGAAACTCGACCGGCCTGGAGCCTCGACGGTCGGTTGCCTAAGCATGGACATGCTCGACCATTACCTTCTCAACCTGGTTAGAAAGGGCACTTCCAAGCTGCTGTTCACCATTCATGCCTTCCTGTTGCTGCCTACCAGGTCACATCACCAGATGAGGGGATACGTCCTACCCCTGGCCTTCGGTTCTGGGATGCGGTGAGATGACTGTGGAACTCCGGGACAGTCGCCGGGAAGCCAAAAACTCATCACTTAGACCGGTGACGGCGATGACTGCGGCAGACAGATCAGAGGTAGGTTTCTACAGTAATACGATGTGGGGGCAAGGAGGCTTGTATCCAACCATCTAATCAAAAAGTAATCAGTGGAGGCAGAACTTAAGAATCCAAGACATGGCCTTGGTCGGTAGGGCGGTGATATGGCGACCTGACTTGGAGCTAGGCTCATGTGCTGTGGAACCAGTACAGGGCTCGGGCAATAAAACCGCTGGGACACGGGCCGCACCGGCGGATCATTCCGTTGGCGGTTAGGGCGTCATTGACGACGAACCCCTTAGCCGTAGGCGATCGCAACTGCAGTCTCTCATGCGCCGGCGGAAATCTCAATGTCGTATGCGATGTACCCACCTCACCGTGGCGGACCCCTATGGCGAAAACTCTGGAGAAGGCCCACAGGACCAGGGCCCTGAAAACGCCATCAGTCTGGGTTCGGGTGAGATGATATCGGCGGCGAGTCCGACTGGCTTCAAGTGGTGACAGAGTTAGTTAACGTGGTTCCCTCGGACGATGTCTTGGACCCTTGTTGATCGTCTGCTGGCCAAGAGCTCTATCTCCCAGCTCAGCACCTTCAGCTGGGCATGGGGGGGTTTGATGAGCATAGATTTTACTCGATGTTGATAGCTACGTGTTCGTCAAAACAACACAGTAATTTCACGGAAGCCTGGGGATGTGAAGGTCTGGGATCAAGGCCGCAGCAGCAGGCCACATCTGGTGTACTGTGTACCTAAGTGGTTATCCTTCGTACGCCCACCGAGGCTTTGGGTTCTGACCGCTAGGGGTGGCCGATTAAAACCAACCCTGTCTTGTTAACGACCCTCCTGCCTAATTAGGGCATGTCGTTCAAGTAAACTCGGTTATTCGACCAACCACGCGAACTGTTCTCGAAGACGTCCACTGGTCAGCTACTTGGCACTTTGGTTACCCAATGACCAAAGCTGGATTAGTAAAACGATGTCTCTTTTGGAAATGCTCTGATTCCCATCTGGGCTGACAAAAACCCATCCTAGCCATGCAGAAGCTGAAAGACGGGTCTGCCGATCTTGGTGGGCGATCATGGGGCTAGCACAAGCCAAGAGCTCAACATCATACGTAACTTCGTAATGATGTGTCAAATTGGTTCGCTAGCAGTATCACGACACGAAAGATAGCCATAGCAGGTGCAGAATTTTTTTGGCGAGGCCTCTGATCTGTGATCTGGTCTCGAGGGAAAGGCGGTCGAATGACCCAAGGTAGTAAGTAATCACAAGGCTACTAGTTGTTGTTGTTGTTGTTGGGGGTGGGCGGGGTTGTGCAGTAGCCTGTCCATGCAAGTGTGATGGAAAAAGTTGGGGTCAGGAGATGGCTCGTCCTGTTTGTTGAGTTGCTACAGAAAGGAAAAAAAGACTGTTGATCAGGGCGTTTGATTTTTTTTTTTTTTTTATTTTTTTTGAGGGAACCGGTGATGGATGAAACCCCTGAATTTTGGGGGTGGGAGATGTCCAAGATTCAGCCAGCCAAAAAATAACCAAGCATGGGCTAGACGTACAACGCATCCATTTTCAAGCATTACCTAGTGACCTACCTGACCTGGACTCAATCGGAATTGTGAACAATCAGCATTCCATCCAGCTTTCCGTCACGGGTGCTCTGCACTTGGTTACTCACATGCAGCAGCAGATCCTTTTATATCTGGACGTCACCTCTAAATCCAGAACACTTTTGTCACCCCACCACTTCCTCGATATCCGCATCGAGATACACAGCCCCCCCGAAGGTCTTGACATTCAACCATGCCAGTGGTCCAGGATTATTACCCTTCTGGGTTCATACCCTTTGTTCAAGATTTACCGGCGCAGTATTTTGTCGTCCTTGGACTATTCACATCCCTCTTGGTGGTTTCCAACTGGGTAAGACCACCCGTTACATTCTTTCTGTCATCGTTGAGAAGTAACTACCCAAGTGACTGACAACTTTTTGAACAGACCACAATCAAGCGCACACTAAGAAAGTTCTGGTTAAGGCGCCAAGGGTATTTCCAGGACAATGAAGGGAGACCAATTCCCGAGCTGAAGGGGGAGACACGGTTCTCCCGTTTCAGCCACGGGTGAGTTGTGTATTTCGAGCCTGCTTGCGACTAGGGCGCCGAAGGTTGACCATCTCGTGCAGTTACGAGCTGTCTTTGCAGGGAGCCAAGACGGCCGAACGTAGGCCTTATATGATCTGGAATGGGACGAGCCCGGAGGTCGTCTTGACCCAAGCAGAGCATGTGAGGGAGTTCTACAGCAAACGGTCACAAGGTGGGCGGCCCTCAAGCCAAGCTTCCAGGAAAGACGCCCAGTTCTAAACTGACCATCTTGCAGAGCACTTTAAGCCCGAAAATGCCAGCATGGGTCACTACTTTGGTCGGGTCATGGGCGTTTGCGCTGGTGTTCAGAACGGCGCCGTCTGGAAGAACATTCGCAAAGTGTTTGATCCCTACTTCAGCTACAAGTCTGCTCAGGGCTTCTCTGAGATCTATGCCGCCGAGTTCAAGAAATGGATGGACGACTTGTCGGCGGGCCGCGAGTCTGACTTTGTTGCCGAGGCGACAACCATCTGTACCGTCCTCCCTTTCAAGCTGATTGCCTTGGCGTGTTACGGGCCGGCCCTTGACGGACAAGGTACGCATGATGGATTCGTATCTTGTTTGTTAATGGGATTGACTGACACTGTTCGAAACAGATCTTTGCGGATCTTCTTGCCCTCAACTCCGTCCATGAAAGGGTGCTCTTGACAACCTGGTTCGGACGCAAGGAGCGAAGCGGGCTGTACAACGCTTTGCCCACTGCTTCCAAAAAGGATATGGATACGTTTGAAGCCGATTGGAAGAAATTCAACTTCTTCATGATGCGTGAATCTGAGGAGGTGAGTGCTGTTCTGCATCACAACATCTTGCAAATCGAAGGAGTGAACCATAATTGATCTAACACCGGCACAGAAACAACTCCCGTGCCCCATCCGGGAGATGTACAAGGATGTCCTCGCCGGTACCATTACCGAAGCCAACTGGCTCCAAACCATCGACGAGATCCTCTTCACCAACTTGGACGTAACCTCGGCCATCCTCGCCTTCCTCCTCATCAACCTCGGCATCAACCAGCCCGTCCAGAGCGAACTCCGCTCGGAAATCACCCGAAGCCTCGCCACCCCCATAGCCGCCCCTGGCATCGACTCGAGCCCCATCGAAGAATACATCCGCAAGACCGACACCCTCCTCCGAATACACCTGCCTCGAGTTCCGGCCGCCTGTGCCCCGCGGGTGTGGTTCACGCTGCCCGAGTACGTCGGCCGCCGACCCTCGACATTGGCGGGCTACCGCATTCAAGGCCTGGCACCCTGCCTGCATCATTGACTGGGCGCGCCTTCAACACGGAGAAGCCCACTTGTGTGAACCTCGGACAACTCCAAGCGCGCCTCCGCCGAGTTGAGCCCGAGGTCAACTGGCCAGACGTTCTGGCCGCAGCGCTTCAAGGCCATGTCGCCGACCACGTTACCGTTGGAGCATGTTGCGGTTTGGGCTGGGCGGCCGTCAGTGCATTGGAAAGAACTTTGCCTCACGTATTATGAAGCAGTTTCTTGTCGAGGTGTTAGCTCGGTATCGCGTCGAGTTGGACGGGGAGCGGCCGTTAAAGTCGTGGGGTACTATAAATGTTGAGTTGAGGGATGATCGGTTCACTGTTATGCCGAAGCAGAACGTGCGGTTTGTTAAGATTTGAGTTGGGGGGATGGTGGTGCGGTGGTTAATCTGGGAGTGTACTGTGTACATGGGGTATTTGGGGTCTTTGCAATGGGGAATGGATGTTCTTTGCCTTGTTCTCATTTCTGTATCGTCGTGTCTTCAAAAGTACCTCGCCTGTTGCATTTTCCTACTCCTGTAAAAAATACTAGCTGGTTTTGTATCACTGGGATCTGGGGAGAGTTGGGAGTTGGTCAATACCAAACAATGTGTCTTGTTCTTCGAGGGACAACATGGGATCTGGACAATAGGTGGGTAATATTGGAACAGAAAAACGTTTGGAAATGAGTTCTCCTCCTTGAACTGTAGCGTTTTCCTATTTGAACTGTAATGGTCCGTGCGCCACACTGCAAAACGTCGGCTAATTAATTCTGCCGCTTGATGCCTGCCACAAGGGGTAGGGGGGCTTGAACGATCCGGATGTAGTTAGCATGCTAAGGCCCACAACGGCGCAGTAAGAATACCCTCATTTAAGCATTTAGAATGGATTATTCATGTGCTGATTCTTTGATTTCAGGTTTTCTTATCAAATATATGTCATTGCGTAGTCTGCAGGACATGGAAGAGTTACCGGCTTCACTCCAACCAGAGGCTGTCTTGACAGGGTCTCCTTATGGTGCACCCGCACCACCAAGTATCCGCCAGGCCACCGTCTCTTTACTGGCCCGGCTTACGCCTCCTACAACGAGCTCTTGCTTGATCTGAACTTTTAGGGGAAGTCCTACGGTCTGGGATTTGTGAAGAGGCGAGCTTCGAACTACATCAACGGACAAGCCACGCGTTTTGATCTCTACTGCGACCGGGGACAAGCCAGACCTTCTATCGCAACCGTCCGCAAGACCACGATTTCCAAGACAGGGTGCCACTGGCGAGGCGTTGCTAAAGCCTTGAACCTCCGAATGGGAATCGGAGGACCTAGCCGAGGTAGAAGGACCTCCGGCGTCGAAGAGAGGCCGGAATAACAAATCCAAAAGCTCGGCAGTGAAGGCCGTCCCGGCAACAGCCCCAATTTCACGGCAGGAGGTGCAGCAACAGGAAGTCACGCAAGACAGCGTAGAGGACTGCATTCACGTGGCAGTCCGAGGGTCAGAATGACCTCGGCCTGGAAGCAACGGTCTTTATTTTCCTTTTCTCGCAGCAGAATTGAGAGTTTTGGGTATTTTCCTTGAATCAAGAATTCTTGGTATTCGTGCGCTCTGCTGGATGAAACTGGTGGCTGTTGGAGCGAAGTTCCATGATTTGTGTCCCAAAGTAGGGCGGCGAATCATGCAGCTCACCGCCTTCCCGTTTTGGCTGGCGCACGGACCATTACAGTTCAAATAGGAAAACGCTACAGTTCAAGGAGGAGAACTCTTGGAAATAATTTCCGACTGGCCTTGTCTTACTACTTGCTGTTCTGAGGATTGGAAATAATATTTGGACATCAGATTGTTCGTTTAGAGCTGACGAGTGTGATGTTGTGATTGCCGTATCTTTTAGCCCTTCGTTGGATGGGATGGCATCTGCGGTTCATCCTTCGTGTGCTGTGAATGGCGAGAGGGTGCCTCACTTTGAGTGACGTGGAGGCGACGATCTGCGTCCTAGGAAAAGCAACAACCATGATCCAAACCACCACGAGACTGTCCAACAGTCAGTCCAAGCCCGAGACGTGAGCGAGATTGAGTCAGGGATGAGAACCAAACTGATTGGCCGGATGATCCGCGGATGATCCATGCCAACGGCGCCACATAACGCGTTGTGCTTGACCAACGCGTTGCATTAAAACAGACATCGAACATCCCCCCAGCCTCCACGGATCCTCCGCGGTTTCACAGTCGAGCCCACTCCGCCTAGGAGCATGGAATCATCCACGATGAAACGGAGAGCAGTTGATCCGGCCGAGGAATCCATGTCGCCAGTGTCACGGCAGGCACCGTATGGACGCCGGCAACCACAGACTTCGTGCGACTCGTGTCGGAAGCGGAAGCTCAAGTGTGATCGCGGACAGCCATGCTCGAGTTGTGTGACACGAGGCTTGCCCTGCCATGGGCATCCAAGTGCCAAAAGATTGGCAATAGATCAGAGGTTGGTGGACTCAAATTGTCAATGTTGTCCGAGTGCCGTGCATATTGATGGCACAGGTATGTATGGTATTTACGTATATGAGCTAATATGTCTAAGCCCGGACCCATCATCAAGTGAGAGCATCCTTCGGAGGCTTCGCGCCCTTGAGGTAGCCGTCTTTGACAGCCACAAGGAGAGGCAAGCTTACCAGGAGCAGAGCTCGCAACTTAGCGTCGCCAACACGCCGCCGCCTTCCGCGATAGAGACTGATCATGGCAACCAACCGGCCCGGGCAATAGCGATAGTCCCCCTTGGCCGTTTGGGTAGTCTCAAGTTTGGCATCTTGCCCCCGCCGCCCAATAATAGCCCGATGTCCTTTTCCGGGCCGCTTACGGAGCCAGGTTTCGTTTGGATGGTACCCGAAGAACAGACTATAGCATTGTTACAAGACTATCTCGATCATGTTTATCCCCTTATCCCTATTATTCATGGACCGGCAAGCCGGGAACTTATAAGGAAGTTTTACAATGGGATGGCCTGCGGAGCAGTCACACCACAGGTTGCGGCCCTCATACTAGGGATGAGTGCCATCAGTGCCTATTTCTGGCAGCCCGACACTGAGCGTCACGCTTGCTTCGCGTCTTCCAAAGAAGCCTCCGAGGCGTCTCATACTTGGCGGGAGTGGGCGGCCCACATCTTGGCCAACACGCCTAAGGAGCCAGGCGGCTGCACGTTGGAGGAGGTGCAGGCTTGGACCCTGCTCTCCTTCACGGTTCAGAACATCGAGGGATGTTCCTATCACTTCAGATTACTGCACCAATCTTCGCTCACCGCCGCCCGCGAGTTGTTAATTCATGTCGTCGACAGCCCAAGGGCAGACCCCAACCAAGACGGCGTGACGCGCGGAAGTCAAGCGGAGGATTTGGTGGTATATCGCTGCAACAGATTGGTAGGTAACAAGCCCCTGGCTCGACCTTGTATGGGATCACTGATTGAACAACCTAGGCTCCTTGGTTTCATGGGAGGCCCACTTGAAGGTATATATTCTGTTCAGCCAAAGCACATGGCCGTGAAGTATCCGAGGAACATGAACGACAATGACATGGGGATGTTCGACATCAACGCTCCTGTCAACATGTCCACCCAGATGTCGTACTTCATCCAGAGGATCCGCATCGGGGAGGTCGTCCGAGAAGTGCTAGACACCAGCCACCCAGGAGGTCCCGACGTCGACATCACCGACTACGACAAGGTCCGCCAGCTCGACCACCTGTTCGAGCAAGCCTTCATGGACCTGCCGCCCTTCTTCCAAAGCCAGCGCCCGCTCCCACCCGAGAAAGCTCGACACGCTCGAGCTGCAGCGCGTGATCCTCCAGCTCGGCCTACTCGCCCGCCGCGCCCGCCTACACCGGGCCCTTTCCTTCTGCAGCAAGGCCTCCACGAGCCCCGCCACCAACGATCCCGCGAGATCTGCCTCAAGTCCACGCGGGCCGTTGTCAGCCTTTCCATCAGCACCCTACAGTACTCCCTGAACATGGACCAACCCGGCGCGGCCGCCGCCCCCGCCGCCGAACGGGTACGCCCCAGCAAGAAGGGCCTCTCCACGCACCGCCTCGGGCACATCATAAACCACCTCTCGACCGCCTGCACCGTGCTCGCGCTGCACGCCGGCGCGAACCTCACCTCTACCACCACGAA